CCAAAACAGAGCCCAGACTTGGAAGGCACCTTAGTGGGATTTCTGGCTCAGCTCTGTCTGTGCCAGGAAGGACAACTGTCCCCTGTCCTGGGAGAGCTGTGCACCTGAGGGAGAGCTATGCACCTGAGCCGCACCGGCCTGGTGGGCTGGGGTGGGGGCTAATTGGAAATGTCTGTGTGCTCCCCGGGGCCCTATCATTGTTCCTTACATTAATTTTTTTTTTATTTTCAATATGCAAAATTTTCCACCATCTGCTTTGCCTTGGCAGAATGTTTGCTGAAAATATCTCCCTTCGTCTCTAATTCCCATAATTTCTGGGGGCTTTGGGAAGCTCCAAGCCCAGCAGCCCTAGCACACAGTGCCTCCTAAGCACCCCGACTGCCAGCTGCCCTTGTGCCAGGCAGGAGGTGTTGTGTGGCCCTGAAGGAGGTCCCCACCTCCTGACCAAAGAGGGGCATCCGAGGTCTTCCTGCTGCTGGGCTGACCTGAGTTCAGTCCCAGGACTCGGATCCAGTGCCTATGCATCTGCCTGTTAGTTTTTGCCATGAAGCCTGGTGATGCCTGAGGCACAGAAAGAGGTGGTGACCAAGTGGAGCTCAGACAGGCCCCCCATATCCCAGGAGGAGGCCAGATAGTCCCCATTCTGCTTATCCCTTAGAACCAGTCTGGCAAGGTGTCTCCAGAGAAGAGCAGCTGCAGCATGTGTCCTTTAAGGCAGTCAAGGGAGACTCTACAGGAGGGAAAACTCTCCCCGCCCCACTTCAAGTACCAAAACTCAGTTTCCATGGTGACAGTCAAATTGCAAATCCAACCAAGAGCAAGGCTGGGGTGGGGGTGGGGGCAGGGAAGCTGGCCTATCCCCAGAGAAGTGGGCCTGCCTGGGCTGTGCTGTCTGCTGCTGCTACGATAAGTGCCAGGCCAAGCAGAGCAGTCCTTCTGGGCATGATGGGAAAATCTCAGGGATGCTAGATCCCCCAGTAAGTGGTCCAGGCAGTCACACCACTGTGGAGGGAAACCAGAGGGGAGTCCTCCCTGCTCCCTGCCTCATGGAGGATCCCATGAATCCGCATGATAATCTTCTCTTGCCCAAGGGCTATCAGGACTCTCTTCTCCCTGGGGTTTTCCCATCTTCAGTCACAAAAAAAAAAAAAAAAAGTATGGGCACAATATAAGCACTCCTCACCAAGCCATCCCAAATGCAGCCTTTGGGGAAAATACAGGAAAGAAAAAAAATCAGTCCTCAGACGCTAAGTGTTTTGTGGAGGATGGAAGAGCGAGGGCCAAAAGATTTATACGTCTGAAAGCTTTGTTAATAGACCTGGAAGATTTACAATCCCAGCTGTGTGCAGAAGGTGGCAATGGCAATCACATGTCATATTAGCCAAGGTTTGGGTTTTATGGGGACATTTTGGGGGCAGAAGGAAGGAATAACTGCTTCCTTGGTCACCAGAGAATGCTGGGACTATTTCAGTAAAGGGTGTTTGTATGGGGCCTAGGTCTCTTGGCTGTGTCTTCTCCGTGTGTCTCTTCCCCCAGTGACAGTAAAAGGCACTGGCTGACAAAAGACACCTTTCAGATTTTTTTCTTTCAAGAGGGTTTATAAGAGTAGATTAGAAGTGGGATTTGAGTCTGCCACACAAAGACCTCCACACTGAGGCTGGCCCTGGTCAAAATCCCGATGTAATAAGCAAAGATGGCCAGGCCAACGGACAGTGGTGCATCGGGAAGACATGGGTCTTTCTAGTCAGCTGGCTGCTCTGTGACAACATTATGAGCTCATTTGTCATTTGCTCCCCATTTCTATGGCTGAGTCCTTTGGGGTCTGTAATAGGAGTGAGAGAACAAGTCAGCTAATGGTAACTTGGGGAAGTTTCCTGTTTGGTTTGTTCTTTTTTTTTTTTTTTTTTTTTTTTTTAGGATTGAGCAATGGAGACACCCCATGGACCCCTGGGGACTATGCAGCTTGGCATCTTCACCCCTCCTCCAGGGTAGCCATTTTGAACAGGATCCATACCTCACAGCAGATACTGTTCTCCCAGGGTCGTGCAGCACACACGTCTTAGAAGCCAAGCCCACCTCTGTGAACACCTACAGTAGATGTCAGAAGGGGCAAGACTGAAGAAATGGGGAAATGAGCTTGTCACCATATACTCAGTTCTGGGGCATCTGTTCCACTGTGCATGCTGAGCTCTTTGGCCTTTTCCCCTTCATGCCAGGCACCTCTTGACTCCCCAGAGCCCGTGGCCTCCCCAGCCCTTAGCCACTTTGATCCTGCATATCAGCCTCAGGGGAGATGGAGGCTTGCATGCCAGGAAGCGTGACTAGATCCTGCATGAGCTTCCCGGCCAGAAAGATGCGGAAACGGATGTGAAGGTCAGCCACTTTCTCTCCTGCTGCCTGGAGCGTGGGCCACAATCCTTCTGGTTCCTTAGCAGATGCCCCAAGGAGAATGTGGGGAGCTGCTTTTTCCAGGTGTCTACCAGCCATCTCTGCCTCCTGCCCGCTCCTCCCGCCCTCTTTGTCTAGGCACCCACGAGGTTGGTGTTTAGTCAGGGAATGAGTCAAAATTACATAAATGCTTATGACACTGACGCCCATGGGGTCTGGTCTCGGTGGTTTCAGGCTCAAAGCTGCTCAGTCTGGGACTTGAAGGTTTCTCACATCCTGTGAAGGGGCACGTGGACCACAACCTCTCCTCTTCACTACCCTCTCTTGGCTCTGTATCACAAAGCCCAAAATACCAAAGCAGAAGTCTTCCTGGTGGGCAGAGAGGGAAGGAACCAGGGAACAAAAGAGCATAGTCCAGGAACAGATGGAAGAAGGAGAAGCCAGGAACAGTCGCATGGTGGTCATCCCCATCCCCTACCCCACCCACACACAGTCTACAGAAAGGAGATCCACGCCAGCCTCCTTGGTGGGAAGGCGCTGGAGCTTGGTGCTGTAGCTGAGGCAGCCCTTTAAAGAGGGTGGAGCCAGCATCTGGGTTTGGCTGGAGCATCCTGGGCTATGTAGAGGGGGAGCTGACTAGGAAGCACCTACAGGCATGAGGCATGGGGGCCATTGTCACAGAGCTCCTTCAGGACCAGGTAGGCCCTTGAGCTGAGCAAGGCCAGTGGTGGCAGAGAAGAGGCACTGATTCAAGGCCCATAGGTAATGGAATTGGCAGGAGATGAACACAATAGAGAAGTAGCTGCCACTTCAGCAGACCTCCGTGAAGCACCACACTGTATCAGCCCCTCCGTATGGGTACCAGGGCTGCAAATCTCAGAGTCTTGGTGATCAGCCAGCACCAGCCCTCCAGCTGCTTGCTTCTGTGGCGTGTGACTCCCCTAGCTGCAAGTTGACACAGGCTGGGCTCTAGCTCCAGATGGAAGCTACCATTTTGCCCTCTTGTACCCACACTGGGTTTCCTTAACTGGCCAGATGCTTCCCCTGCAGAGCTTTAATGCGATCTCAGAATTCACTGCACGCTGCTGCAGAAAGGCCTTGGCAGATCAAATGAAACCTATTAGCCACCCTGGGTATAGATCAATTCTGTTTCTAATCTTATCTTCCACCAGTGGGAACCAATGGCTCAAAGTGGTTCCAAGGATTAAGATTCACTCGCTAAGTGCCTAGCACAGTGACTGCTTCTAAAACTTATCCCATTCTACCCTCTCTCTATGGCCAGTCTTTTGCATGTAAAGTAAAAGACAGATGCCTGCGAGTTGCCCAGGCTGGCCTCAGACCTGCAGTCCTCTGCCTCAGTCTCCTGAGTAGCTGGGATGACAGACATGCGCCACTGGGCCTGGCAGGCAGCTGGCTACCTTTGGTCCTGCATCTTTCTATGTGACTATACTTTCATTATCTTTATATTACTTAATTAAATATTATATAAATTGATGAAAAGAGTCAGAAAAGACAGCAGAGCTGTTCTATTAAAACCAAGTATTGCAAAGTCTTGATAGAAGCCACTTGCTTTTTAAAAAAACAGCAAATTAGATGTGGACAAGACAACCATAAAAAAAATAGGAAGACATGGGAGAGCTTAGGAGGATTCTGCAGTCAGATTGCTATGCTAGTGTCTATAAGCTCCTACTCGAATTTAAAGTACCTAAAACCAGAGTCCTGGACCCCGCAGCATGGAGGCAGTTGAAACACGAAAGCTCTGTGGGCCCAATCTCAAAGCAGCAGCCAAGGCCTGCTGCAAAAGGTTGGCAAGTGGATGTACATTTCTGTGTTTAAAATTAAAATAGAAATAGAATGTTTCAAGGATGAATATATCCTGTATTATGACGCCCACTGTTGATGAACCAGCCAAATATGGTCTCATTGAGTGCAGCAAGGAGAGAATGTTCAGTGGGGGAGCCCCTCCCCGCGCTCTCCCTCCGGCCCCTGACTCACCTGGCACCTGCTGCATTCTCAGGACCCCACTGTGAGTTGCTGGATGGGGTGGACAGCCTGAGTCTTCAGCCTCCAAGTCAGATCTTCCAGTATGACAAGCATGATCGCAGGCACACACCCAGAGCCCGCCTGCCCAGTTTAGACTCCCAGCACCTCCCCACTTACTACCAAGGGCGCACACCTCAGTTTCCTCACCTGTGAAGTGGGGTTGCATCATTCCCCCCTCACAGGGTTGTTCTGAAGCTTCCATGAATCTGTGTATGGTGAAGGCCGTGGCCGCCCGCATCTGGGCCTTGCTAGGTGAAGGCCTCAGAGCTGCTCTGTCCACACAAAAGATGGATCCTAAGTTTCTACCAGGCCAGAAAAGTCCAGCTGTGCCACAGAGGTGGTGACACATGGAGATGTCTGGCCAAGCGCGAACTCTCCCTGCTGGTGCTGGGCATGCTGGGCTCACAGCCTCCTCTTGCCAGATCGCCCCTCTGACTGGCAGAAAGAAGCGCTGCCCCACCTTGAGCTGTGGTTTCCCATGCCCAAAATAAAAGGGCTGACAGAGTCCTAGCTCCATCCAAGTCGTGGCCAGTAAGGGTGACCCCCTCTTCCCTGTCTGTCTTTTCCAGTGGTTTCCAGTGACAGTGACAGTGACTCAGATCTCAGCTCTTCCAGCATGGAGGACAGACTCCCGCCTGCTGGGATCAGAGCCAAGGAAGGCAGCAAACCCGTGGGGGAGCCAGGTAAGTGTGGGGCTCCTCCAGTGCTCCCCTGTGCTGTTCTCCAGCTGAGATTTCACCTCCTGAGCCATAAGGCTTGGAAAAGTAGATGCAGACTTCCCCGAACTGGCCCCACTCTGCCGTAAAGCCTCAGCGGGTCCCCAGAACGTGCCATTGCCTCCAGGTGACACATCCTCCTCTGCAGCTCAAGAAAGATGGGACAGGTGGTCTCTGAAGTTCTTTTTGGCTTTGACATCCCTGAGCTCTCCTCTAGAGAAAGGAAAGGTATTTCCTTCTCTTCAAATACATTAAAGGCCTTTCAGGAAAATGCCCGGCTTTTTTCAGTTACTCCCAGGTTAGAACCGAGATCTTTGAGAGAAGGCTCAAAGGAAGGCTGATGTTAGTACTTGATTAAAAAAGAAATTCCTGGACTGGGGAGATAGTTTGACAGTCTAAGCACCTGCCTGAAGCACAAGGTCCCAAGTTTGACCCCCAGTACTGCATGCCATGCCAGCCCCAAAACCCCCAGTGCATGGTACCAGCTCCAAAACAGAACATGGTGGCACACACCTATAATCCCAGTGCTGGAGAGGCTGAGAGAGGCGGTTCACCATGAGTCCAAACTGCGTAGTGAAACCCTGTACCAACAACAGCAAAAAGAAATTTCTAGTAACTCCCTCAAATTGGAGTAAATGCTTTGAGGTGCTGACTTAGGGCCAGGACAAGGTGATGTCCTGCCTGGGCTGGCATGGAAGGAATTCCTGTTGGGAATGGACATTTGGGCCAGATCAGAGATAGCCAGTGCTGGCTGTAGGCCACTCCTCCCCAGGCCTGTGCCCACAGCAGACATCGTCACTTGTTGCTCACGATGCTCTTCCACAGAGCCAAGATGTGGCCTCAGAATCCTCCTAAGTACAGTTTTCCAGGTGGTCAGTCTCAGTTTGCAAATTGACATAAAAGATAAAAGCTGTCCCAGACCAGGCTGCTTCGGGCCAAAAGTGCTACATTAGAAAAGTGAAGGTTTCCAGGGCAGGTTTCTCACACTCCTCCTCCACTCGCGTGACAGCTCTGGTCCCTTCTCTTCACATCAACTCAGAGCTGTGACCAAGCAGGATCAGGAGGTGGAGAAGTGGGTGAAATGTCATAGGCACCACGCTTACTGAGAGCCAGGCAAAGACTAATAACCATGTTCGTGTCAGGGTTCTTCAGTGAGTAAAGACAGTAATATCTTCCTTGCAGTCTCACTGAGCAAACTGAAACATAAGCCTTTCTCCCGTACCCTTGATCTGTGAGAGCAGGAAAAGCTAATAATTGTGGGCTTCTACAGTGGTGATTTGTTAAGTAGTGAAGTGGCCTCGGGACCCATTTTGAGGCTTTGGTATCTCAGGCCAGTGGGGGGTCCTGCTCAAACACAGGGGCTCCTGCTGGAACCTGGCAGCTGTGTTCCAGGGGGCCAGATTCCAGGACAGAGGCTACAAGAAGCCACCCACAGATACCACCATAATTCCAAAGGAAAAGATGTGAACATGTGCTTGTCCTGCCAAGCTCATCCCCGTCGCCTGGGATTTGGAGAGCCCAGGATGCAGCCCTTCCAACACACGCACGCGGTCTCCTGCAGGTGGCAGAATGGAGTCTCCCAGGGTGGGCCTCGCCCATCCACCCCGGCACCCCTCGGGGAGCCAGAGCAGCCTGGCCAGCGAGACCGAGGCAGGAGGCTCTGCAGACCCGCAGGGGGGCACCCCGCCCCAGCGTGAGCCCAAGGGCCCCGGTGAGTACCTCACTGAATGTTTAAGCCCGCCACCAGCTCCCTCTTCTGCTTCCTCTCTTGCCCTCCCCCTCCCTCCTCCCATGCAGGGTGGCAGGAAACGTTTTCAGTTCTCCGCATTTACTGAGTGCAGTGCTGGATGTGGAGAACAAAGGTCAGCTAGGCCCCAGCCACTGGCACTGACCAGGGAGAGGGACCAAGTGATAACAGTAGCATCTGTGTCTGCTCTCGGTAATCGTAAAAATGATGTGCAGCCCTGTGCTTCATTAAATGTTGTCAGAACCTCCCCATCTCTTGTCCATGGTAGGAACTCCTGCTTGGTGAATACCTGCTGTGTGCCAGGCGGTACAGGCCTCACTGAGCCCCATCAGGTGCCAGTCTGGGCTGGGAGCAGCAGGTCCATCCTTGCCTTCCAGAGATCTGCCCCATAGTGAGGAGGCCAAATCAGCCCACGCAATCCAGGGCCCACCCTACTGGAGCCGGCCCAGATCCTGGGAGGGAGACTCTGGGAGTGCTGGCCCACCCTGCCCTGACACCTCTAAGGTCAACTTACGCCCTATTGACTACTCTGCCAATAGGATGTCCTCATTTGGTAGCCATGGAAATGAAGAGGGTAATACCAAGAGTCCAGGGCTTTCCTTGTCCACTGTCCCCAGCCCTGGTCTAGCCCGGCATCACCATGCAATGGTGGGGAGGGGGCTCTCCTATGGAAGGCAGAAAGAACTGCACATGCAGGACAGGCCCAGCCCCTCAAGGAGGATGCCCAAGTTAGGATGGACCCCTCCTGGCCAAAGGAGCAGGGGCACATGTGAATGGGGTGGCAGATCAGCTGCCGGCAGGGGAACCTCTGCTTCCTGTGCCTGCTTTGCAGCCACCCACCAGGATACCCCTCCATTTTGTCTGTCACCCTCCCCACCTGCTGGTTCCCCAGAAAGCACAGGCATTTTGGGAGGGAGGCAGCAGAGGGCTGGTCTCTAGGGTGTGGGAGGCCTCTGTGGCCATGGAATGGACCCTGCCCCCTCCCTGTGGCCCTCTCATGTCCTCCAGAGAGGACAGTTCAGAGTGAAGCAGGCCCCTGCTCTGGTCCCGGCCCTGCCACCCATATCCGTGTGAACTTGGGCAAACTATAAGGGTGAGCATATGAACTACATTTTGTAGGTGAAAAATAGGCCAAATCAGCAGTGCTGCTACTGTGCAGAGTTCTGTCACCACTGAAGGGTCCCTCAAGGGGCTGTGGGGAGGGTGAGACCAGCAGCTCTCCACACTGCCTGCCCCAGGAGTCCTTGGGAAACATGCAGTAATAACAGGGAGGGCTCCAGGGCCTGAGGCAGACTTCACCTTCCTGTGCCCCTGGCACCTTCCAGCATCCTGAGGTCACCGTGATGGCCCTGGATTTTCCAGGCCAACTGATGTACAGAAGGACAGGCGACGTGCCTGTGAGCACACATGGAGCTGAGCAGTGCTGACCCAGAGTCAGGCTCCCCTGCCCAGCACCCCCTGCCCTGCTGGGTGACAGCCCCTGCTTCCTTCTGACAGGGCAGCAGCTGCAGGTGCAGGGGCTGTGCCAGAAAAGACCTGCCTCCACCTCCATTTCCTTCCCAGAGGTTGAGCTGTCACTGAGGAGGGACTCCATCTCTTCTAACCCATGGGGTCCTTTCTCTCTCCTCCAAAGGCAAAAGACACACCTGGGGGATTCCCCGCTGCTGATGTAGCCTTTGAGGGAAGGTCGGTGCATGGAGCCAACCTGCCAGTGGGAGACTGAAGCAAGAGAAAGCTGGAGCCAGGCTTCCTGGAGCCTCCTGGACTTCGACTTAACAAATCAGTGTTTGGGGGCCAAGCCTCATGCCCCCACCTAGTGCCTTTCTGCACCCCTCCATGGGGAGCCTTCCTCATCCACTATCCCCCCCAGGGGGGCTGTGATCTTTATTTATTGTCTCCTTCCCACACATGCCCACTACTCTGTGCTTTGGTAAGTCCTGGGTTGGGCCAGAAGGCTTTGGGTCCCCTCTTGTGGGGCCTCCTGTATGCACTGAAGTTCTAGTAGGGATACTGCATGGGCCCTCTCTGTGTTTCTTTTAAGGACAAGAAGAACTGTAACCCTCATGTGCCCCTCAAAGCTGAGCTTGGCCCCTCAGGGTGAGTGCAAAAGCCCAGAGCAGGTGGGATGAGAGATAAGCCAATCCTCTCGCTGTCCCTCAGCTCCCCAGAGCTGGAGCCGTGTCTGCCTTCCCAGGAGACCGGGTCCTTGTTTGGTTTCTTTGAGTCCCTCCATTGACCTCTGGGCTTTCACTCATCCCGAGCACACGCCTCCCCTAAGACATGAATTCACTTCTCAGTAACTTGGGTTGGGTGTGAGAAAGCACTCAATTCACAGCACAGCCAAATGCTTCTGGAAACCTTCCCTGAAGAGAAGGCCATGCATTCGTGCACGTTGGTGTCCTCACCCTGCTGCCCTTCCTGACCCCAAGGGAATGGGTTCTCCAAGGGCTCTCTCTGCCCCAAATTCTTAGTGCTTCGCCCTTGCCATGTTTCCCTGGGACGTGTTATGCTTCAGAGTTAAAACAATAAAAGATTAGAATTTGCTTTGAGCTGATGTGCTGTTCAAAGGACCACAGTGGTGGGGTTTCTGCTATTCAACCGAGGAATGGATGTGTGGCACCACTGATTGGCTGGAACCCTTCCTAAGCCTTGGTGAAAGAATGGGCTACATCTGTGTGCCCTGATAGAGCTCGCAAATCTAGTGTTGAATGGAAAAAACAAACCTGCCTATGTAAAAAATCATCAGTGAGTCGGACAGCCTTCACAGGTGCATATGTAAAGATGGTTTTCAAAAGGACAAAGCCTGCTGATTACTTATGGTAAATTGAACACATTCATAAATTCTTCTGCCTCTCACTCCCCACTGAAATGACCTAAAGAAGTGAAAATGGCAAGCCAGAGACCAGAGGAGCAGGAGAAAACCCGGCGGGATGAGAGATGTATGCAAAACTTCAGAAGATAATGCAGTACACTTTGGTCAGTGTCAGCTTCCCCCCATCCCAAAATGCCTACAAGGGAAGAACAAGCCCCTTGCTGTTCAGAACCTCTGCGTGCTCAGGATTTGAAGGGATCAGGGGTCCCTAAGGTTGGGTGGGTCCCTCAGGATGGGTCTGAAAATACTATTGGTTGAAAAACGTATTTGGAAGTGTAGCTCAGTAGGAGTGCACTTGCCTAACCAGTGCTTGCCTGGGTTCTAGGACCCTGGGACATGTTATGCTTCAGAGTTAAAACAATAAAAGATTAGAATTTGCATTGAGCTGGTGTGTTGTTTAAAGGACTATAATCGCTGGGTTTCTGCAATTCAACAGAGGAATGTTGAATCGCAGAAACCCAGCAACTGCAAAAGAAAAGAAGTGGCAAGACCCCAGGGTGTGGTTGTAGCCACCATGCCTGGCAGCTGACCTGCTCTAAACTGATAACTCAGTTCTGCACTGCAGGCCACCGGTCAGCTACAAAGGTTCTGTTGGCAAAGAAGCCCAAGCCTAGCCAAAAAGCAGAACGAGGGGCTTCATGGGAAGCTGGGATGGTCTGTCGGCCCCCTTTGCCTAATCACAGCCCACTCACCTCAAGGCAGGATGTTACTTGAACTTCTCTGTGGGGCACTGATCGCAGAGAACAGAAGGACGGAACCCGACGTTGGTGATTGCCCAGCCCCGGGACTCAGCCCAGTCCCCCACTCTGAGGTCTCCCGCCCACCTGTGACCAAGGCTGCCTGTTGCATTGTTAATGTCCCGCATAGTGGGACAAAGGCAGCCAGAACAACTCCGATAACTGAAAACTGAGCCTCCATACACAGAAGAATGGGCTGAGGAAGGCTCTGAATGTAGTGCCCCCATGAGATGAGAAAAGTGTTAATTTTAAAGACAGTGTTAGTGCTCTTGAAAATTAAAAATGCAGTAGCAGAAATTATAAAATGTGTGAATAAGGACAGAAGATGAGAGGAGAAAAAGAAACCTTCTAGAAAGTAAACCACAAGAGCAGAGCTAGGAAAGAGGAAAAAAAAGGGATGGCCAAATGGCTCAGCGGATTAAAGTAACTGCAAGCAGGTGCAGGGACCAGGGTTCGAGCCCCCGGCCTGCCAGTTTGAACCCCTGGCCTGCCGCGCTGGCCCTGCCCCTGAGATGCACTGAGACAGCAATTGAGACTGGGTGTGGTGGCATGTGCCTTGCATACAGAAAGTCCATCTAACTGTAGCAAATTCAAACCAAGAAGCAGAAAGCAGAGAATTGTTGAAGAAGTAGCGCAGGACTATTCCCCAGGTGGACATTAAGTTGGCAGTCAGATAGGAGTGAGAAGTTCTGGAGTTTTATTGTGCAATAAGGTGACCAAGCATGGCAGTAATGGACAGTATACTTCAAAAAGCAAGATGAAAGGATTTTAAATGTTTTCACCATAAGGAAATGATAACTGAGGAGCTACGTTTACCCTGATTTAAATGTTGCATAATATATGCAGGTATCAGAATCTCATAGTACCCCCATAAATATATGTGATTTTATGTTTGTATCAATTTAAGTTTTTTAATTAAAAAAAAATAAGGAGCCAGAGGTATAGCTTAATGGTAGAGCATTTGCCCAGCATGCCTAGGAGAGCTGAGGGCCATTTCTGCTCTTCTGCATGGTGTCAGGAGACATGGGCACAATGTTTAGGGTAGAACCTCTTCACTAGCTAAAAATGGGAAACAGTCTACCACCCGCAGGAGAACAGATAGATGGTTGTGAAATAGGCAGCGAATTACACAGTGGTCAGGATGAGTCCACACTCAGAAGAATCTCACAAACATGGTAAGTGAAAAGACAGCTGGCTGAGAAACAAATAAGTTATGACACTGATAGCGATTTTTAAGCATGCAAAAATCTCATTAAAATGTAATTAGTGAAAATGCAGGATATGATCAAAAATACAATAAATGTTTTAATTTTTAAAATCGTATTACAGTAAGTGATTGTTTCGGTTACTTTTCTCTCATTGCCGGGACAAAATACCCAACATTCAGAATTAAGGAAGGAAAGGTTTATTTAGCTCACCATTTCCATACTCGGCTGGCTCCCAGGCAGAGCAGCACATGGCAGAGGGCAGCTGTTCATGGCAGCAGGAAACAGCAAAGAGCCAGGGAGGGGCAGCGGCTGTGGCAGCTAGCAAGCGTCTCTCCCTTCCTTATGTTGTATTTAGGCTATCTGCCTCAGGGTGGGTGTAATACCCACACCCATAATCCCAGATTTCCTGAGTATCTTTAGTTGCATTTTCATACTTTCATAGTCATTTTTTACTTCAGGGAAGAGCCAGAACTCACTTGGTGCCAGATGTGGCAAGTTAGGTAGATGAAGACACACCATCATGTTTTTATTTGAAATAAATTCCTATTTTATTTGAAATAAAATCCCAGCACCGGATTATGAATTAATCACAAACTCTAGAAGCTGACCCAGTGGCTGCATGAGGCTTTGGGGGATGGCTAGACACAAACTATAACAGCGATATGTTGTTATTAATCCCCTTCAGAATATTCCCACTTGCTTCAAACACATTTATCCATCATTCCTGCCACTTCCTGGAGCAGCTCTGGAAGTCCTCTTTCCTGAGTATCTTTAGTTGCATTTTCATACTTTCATAGTCATTTTTTACTTCAGGGAAGAGCCAGAACTCACTTGGTGCCAGATGTGGCAAGTTAGGTAGATGAAGACACACCATCATGTTTTTATTTGAAATAAATTCCTATAAACATTTGGGGTTATTTTGTTGTTGTTTGTTTGTATTTAGTACAGGGTCTCACTATACAGATCGAACTCATAGTGATCCCCCTGTTTTCAGCCTCCCAAGCACTGGGATTACAGGTATGCACCACCACGCCCAGTCCTCAATTGCCATCTCAGTTGGCCCAGGGGGCAGGGCCAGCATAGCATGCCAGGGATTGAACCCCAGTCCCTGTGTCTGCCTAAGCAGGTGCTTTAGGCCACTGAGCTATCTGGCTGGCCCCCTATAAACATTTGATCAATGAGATGTGATAAAAAAAAACAATGCTTAAATAAGAAATTTTATTATAGTAAAAGTTACAGGGCCAGTGAGATAGCTCAGCAGAGGGCAAGCACAGGGATGAGGACTTGATCCCAGGCACCACCACCAGGTGTGCTGAGCCAGCCACTAAGACAGCATGGTGGTGCATGCCTGTAATCCTAGCACTGGGGAGGATGAAAACAGGAGGATCACTATAAATCCAAGCACAGCTATAATCCCAGTGCTCTGGAAAGCTGAGGCAGGAGGTTTGCGAGTTCAGACCCAGCCTGAGGATCTTAGAAGTGTCTTAGTAACAACCTGTCTCAAAATGTAAACTAAAACCTGTAAGAGCTAGTTAAAAAAAAAGAGCTAGTGACATGGGTATGTAGCTCAGTGTAAAGGCCCTGGGTTTAACTCTCAGAAAAAAGTCAGGGGCAAAGAAAAGGCAATTTTTATTTTATGTTATTTTTTAAAAGGTTTTTTTGTTTGTTTTTTGTTTTTTGTGACCCGGGATAGAACTCAGATCCTTGTGTTTGCCAGTCAAGCACTTATCCTACTGAGCCATCTCCCCGGCCCCTCCATCTCCTGAAAAGGCAAACACAAGGATCTGAGTTGAAAAGGCAATTTTTAGGATACCAAGAGAAAAGGAAAATGTCATAAAGTCTTCCAAAGACAGACAGACAGACAGACAGACAGACAGACAGACAGACAGACAGAGAAGGCAACATATAAAAGATCAAGAATTAAAGGGCTGGTGAGATGGCTCAGTGGTCTAAAACACCTACTTAGGGGCTGGTGAGATGGCTCAGTGGTCTAAAGCACCTACTTAGAACAAGCTTAGCAAAGCACAGGGACCGCGGTTCAATCCCCCAGCACCACATGCCAGCCAGCCCCGCCTCCTGGTGGGCTGAGCTGGCCACACACACACACACACACACACACACACACACACACACACACACATAAATAAATAAATAAATAAATAAAGAAATAAAAGTGGTCTAAAGCACCTACTTAGAACAAGCTTAGCAAAGCACAGGGACCGCGGTTCAATCCCCCAGCACCACATGCCAGCCAGCCCCGCCTCCTGGTGGGCTGAGCTGGCCACACGCGCGCACACACACACACACACATAAATAAATTTTTTTTAAATTAAAATGGCCTTGTAATTATCAAAGCAAAATTGGAAAATCTTCTGAAATCTGAGGGAAAATTATTTCTAATCTAGACTTTTTGCATCCAGCCAAGTGATGAAGCATGAAGGGAGAATACAGAACTTTTCAAACATGTGAGTTCTTGAAAAATCACACCTTGCTTCTCCCTCTCCCGGGAGGCTACTTCAGGATGTGCTTCAAACAAACAAGGGAGGAAACAGGAAAGAAGGTTCTGGGATGCAGAGGAGAGGAGAGAAGCCCCAAGGTGTGGTTGAGCTATGTGGCTTGGCTGGAGTAGGACGTGCAGACCAAGGAGATAGATGAGGATTTGCAAGAAGCAGATATGGTTGGAGAGATTGCACACAAGTGCTGTCATATTTTATAATCATCCATAACATTGAAAAAT